TGGTCTCGTTTTAGATGTGTCAAGTCTTGTCTCCGCCGTGTATGTTAATATAGGTCTAATTACTGCTATATATTCTTGTTTTTAGTAGCACGCGTCTAGCATGTTACATCAAATGTAACCAATGTAAACGAATGACTAGATCGAATGATGTCACTGCCATTTTGGTGTGCGCTGAATCATTCGTTTTCATTGGTTACATTTTAAGTAAGATGTTAGATGCGTGCGTCAGTTTGGTGGGCGATCTCACTAAGAGATCCCGCCGCTTTACTTGCTTTTAAGCTTTGTTGTCTTCTTCGTAACTAGTTATATCTCCATAACTAGTTATATCTATTCTCAGATATCTAAACCTTGCTCCTTGCTTTATTATTTTTCCATCAATTTCGATTTTACATCGTGTTAGGTATTTAGTTGTTGTCATATATTTGTTTTTTCTGCTGATATTATCATATTGTATTTCTTAGCTGTTGTATTGAAGATGTTTGTTAATATTTGGAGCTTCTGTCTCGGCGATTAATGCGGCGTCGTCTGCATAACATAATATTTGGATTTCTTTGTTCCCATTCTGTAACCATGCCCTTTACCTACTGCTTGTATTATTTCGTTCATTATTATATTAAAGAGAAGTGGTCGAGAAGCTTAACGAGTCTTGTCTGACTCCGCTTTGTACTGGTATACACTCTGTTAGTTTTCCATTTATCTTTGCCTGTATTCGATTGTTGAAGTAGGTTTTCAATGTTTGTATAATACTGATTGGTATGTTCCTTTTATACAGTATCTGTAAGACGTCTTCGACTTGGATGCGTTCGAAAGCCTCTATCAGGTCTATAAAACATAGATATGCTGTTTTATTGTATTCGATGGCGTTTTCTGTGATTTGTCTTAGTACAAATACGTCTACGCAGGATCTTCCGGATGTGAATCCTTGTTGTTCACATCTGATAAAGTTGTTAGTTCATTGATTTTGTTGGTTAGGACTTTTGTGGTAAGCTTAAGTGCGGTGTTTAGTAGATTTCTAACTCTATAATTGTTGGGGTCTTATTTATCTCCTTTCTTGAACATTCGTATCATTATGCTGTTTCTCCATGCGTCTGCGTCTGGTACCTAGCAGTGCAATATTAGTTTTTGTATAAGTTTGTCATCTCTAGGGTTATACTTCTTTAAAAAATATATAAAATCCACAAGGAAAATAATTCCTGCAGCTGGCTGTATACTACGTATCACAAAAAAAGAGGTTAAATCTTTGTAAATGGGTATATTTAAAAAACCCTTAAAAAGGCTACATCAAATTAACACGAACGTTTTCGGAATAATAATTCCATCATCAGGTTAAAAATGCAAGTTAACATTCCTGAGCCACCAAAATATTAGGGTAAAAACCCTTTAAAATAAATTGTTGCCGTTTCAGAGATTAGTTGTCTACATGGAGCATAAATTTTTGGACGAATAATTTTTGGCGCCATCTTTAAAATACCCGAAAAATGGAAAAGAAATTTTTTGTAATCTTCAAAAGTTGTTTAATAATCTACAAGAAGTTTAATTGCCATATATTCTTTTTTTTTGGAACCTATTCTCTATCCTTCCATTGTTGGATATAGGTCTTCGCCAGTTCTCTCCATCTTTCCCTATCACTTGCACTTATTTACTAACACCCTATATATTATTCTAATGAACTAAGAATTCAACTAAAAATTTACTGTTTTATGAGAAACCTTATGTCCCCCTCTTCCTTCTTTTAGTGCAACAGGATTGTGTTTCTTTTTACAAACTGTATTTACGAGAAACCTTACGTCCCCGTCTTCGTTCATTTAGTGCAACAAGATTGTTTTTCTTTTTATGATCTTTCTTTATACAAACTGTTGTACAAACTCTTCGCTCACTGATTTCTAGATCTGTTGACAAGAATTTTAGACAAACTCTTGTGGATCTCGTACCCTTTATGGGTGTGACATGATAAAGAGTATAAAATATGCGAGATCGAGAATTTGGCTTGATACCTCGTTTTTTTTTTCTACGGGACCATCTGTTATCATATAAGATAGTTTTATATCTTGCTCTGATTGATCAGTCATAGCGTAAAAAGCTTACCTTAACCGACTTATATCAGATAATTTAATATTAGTATATTTAAAGCTGTTACCTGACTGATTAGATGGCCTCTCAAACTTCTTTAGTAATTGATCTTTATCTTCATACCTACAAATAATTTTAAATCACCATTTAAAACCGTTAGAAATAATAAATGTTAATTTGTTTTACCTTTTACTTTTTTTTAACCTATCTTTTAGACACTTTAGCCATTCTCTTTCGACTTCCCTTGTTACCATTTTTTACACAAATACTAGATATAACGTCTTGCATTTTAGTAAATTAACATGGAGTGTCTGATGCAACCATACAAACAAACAACTCCCACTAAAGTACCTAAGTAAGCAAAATACATTCTTAGGCATAACAAAATGAACACAACTGTGATTGCCATATTTTGGTAATTTGCGAAAACTGAACAAAACTTTCACATAAATATTTTTTCAATCATTTATTGCAGTTTGGTTAAATATGATGGATTTATGTCAGTTTGCTTGGTCTTAAAATGGGATTTAATGCTTTTTTGTTCGGTTTTGAAATATTCATATAGCAATATATAGGGTGTTTCAAAAAAAGGTAACCCCATCTCTAGGGTAGGTAAAAAACTGAAAAATAATTGGGGTTTGTTTAGTAAAAAATTTTTGTAACGCCATCCGTTTTCAAGATACAGGGCGTTGAAAAAAAAAATTACGCATTTCTTAGGCTACCTCTGTAGCATAGATTTTGCCGAAACTACTGGCAACATTGTAATGAAATTTTATACGAATATGTTTTGGAAAATGATACATCCCATGAATTTGTTTTTATATCTGATTCTCATAGAGGGCGCTAGTTACATGGATCGTACTAAGTATTAGTCAATATAACTTTTTTAAGAGTATAATTATTAATCAAAATTTCAAGTAAACTTAAACATCATTCAATTTTACACGAAAAAGGTACTCTTGGTAAAACACGATACTGTGTACCGTTTTCGGAATATTTTGATTTGAAAATTATGAAGTAATAATTGATGATAGTATAAAATAGTTAGTAATGAAGCAAAACTCACAAGAAGAAAATTAAATTAATGACTAAGAACATAAAATAAGATTCAATTACAGTAAGTATTCAAAATGCCCTCCGTTTTTGCGAATACAAAAGTCTATTTTTTTTCTAAAGATTCCATTAACCTTCTAAACGGTAGGGGATCAGCTATGATGTCATTAATTTCACGTTAAATTCTTTATTCCAATTCTTGGCGTGAATTTACCTCTGTAGCATAGATTTTTTCCTTAATATACGACCAAACTGCGTAGTCCAAAGAGTTAAAATCGCCGAGGAGGCCAATGAATCGGAGCTTCTGCACCTCTATCAATCCATCGATTCGGAAAATGGTTACTCAACCAATTACGACACTTTCTATCAAAGTGTGGTGGAGCTCCATCGTGCATAAAAAATAAAGATCTTCGCTCGTATAGCATTAAATCTTCTAATATCTCGAATAAGGAATTGTTTAAAAAATCAAGATACATATCACCATTTCCAGGTAGAATATGATAAATTATTAATTTGTTACCTAAAGTTGCTGCACAAACATTAACTTTACATGAGTGTTGGTAATGTGATACCCTTTTGACTCCTGGATTTTCATCACACCAGTAGTGTGCATTAAACAAAAATCCACTTTAACCGGTAGATCATCTGGCAAGAGCTCTTGGACTTGTCTGTAATGATAAGGATGTAATTGCTGTTCTTTCAGTATCCGCCAAGTACTTGAAGAAGAAGCATTTGTTTGTCTTGCTATATTCCTTGCGCTAACTGTTGAATCTTGATCAAGTAAATGTAAAATATTATTTTCTTTATTAATTGTTCTTGGTCTACCAGAATTTATTTTATTTGGTCTCACATTCCCAGTTTCTCGACAACGTCGTTCAACGGCTCTAAATGTTTTTTTACTTAGTAAGTTTTTTCTAGGAAACTTTTCTGCATAACGTGTCACAGCTGCACTAGAACATCCTAAACATTCGCTTAAGGTTAATAACATGTCAGTGTATTAAACATTTGAGTGCATTTTGATTTGATTTTACAAATAAGGTTTCAAAACTCTAATTATTGTTGATTTATCGTCATAACTATCAATAAATGTCAGATTTCCATGGCACACTTGGAGAAAATAGAGGTATACCTATTAGAACTTTATCATTACTACCAGCATCAATTATTACTTCAGAATTTTCAAATCAAAATATTCCGAAAACGGTACACAGTATCGAGTTTTACCAAGAGTACCTTTTTCGTGTAAAATTGAATGATGTTTAAGTTTATTTGAAATTTTGATTAATAATAATTATACTCTTAAAAAAGTTATATTGACTAATATTTAGTACGATCCGTGTAACTAGCGCTGTCTATGAGAATCAGATATAAAAACAAATTCATGAGATGTATCAGCTTCCAAAACATATTCGTATAAAATTTCATTACAATGTTGCCAGTAGTTTCGGCAAAATCGTAAAAAATGCGTGAATTTTTTTTCTTCCAGCCCTGTATCTTGAAAACGGATGGTGTTACAAAAATTTTTTACTAAGCAAGCCCCATTATTTTTCAGTTTTTTACCTACCCTAGAGACAGGATTACCTTTTTTTGAAACAGCCTGTATATTGGGTTTAAGGCACATTGTCTGAAATGAATAGTTCACATTGTAGATTTAACTAAACCAATTGCTTTATAGTATTTACTTATTAAAAAATGTATGTAAAAAATTAAAACATAGATGTTTCCTAAATTAGCATCTCGGCTTAACAGATTTTCTTAATTCGACTTTAAGGCTTCTATGACAGTAGTAATTTTAAAATAAATTGTATTTTATAATTAGTTACACGCTTATAAATATATTTGCATATTTTGTTGTAACATTTGTTTTTCTATTGCAGTGTTTGAAATACGAAAACGACCGCGAGACAGTCATAAGTTTGTGCAAAAAGGACATACCGTTGTGCATCGAAGTTATCCTGACGTGTGAGTGTAAAGAAGTTGACGAGACGACCGACAATTTGAACGGCATTTACGTTTTGGAACAGTGGCATTTCAGCGTCGGCCCCAAAAAGTAAGTATTGATATTTTGTCACCTATTTCACCTGTAATTTGCTAAAAATGCGACATCTGACCAATCTACCCTTAGTACTTAATATAGCAATAAAAAAATAGTCTAGGTTTATAAACTCCTGGACAAAATTAACGTATCACTCATATTTTTCTCAATAATCTTTATTTATTGATAATTTACTGTACGACAAGTTGCCAGTGGACATTGTTGGACAGTGACAGTTGTTATGTAAGCTAATGTATTGTCTTGTATTAACAATAATTTGTATTAAACTTCGTTTTAGACTAAAAGTAAGTTAAACTTTTCATAAAATGTGCCGATTAAAGCAAAATGTTTGTGAGAAACAAGCTTTTTATTGTGATATTTTTCATCACATGCATGTTTGGAAGTTCATTTGCATAAAAATCAAATAAAAAAATCAACCGCCAAAGAAATTTGTCAATGGAGAAGGCAGTACGAGCATCGACTCTCGTAGATGAAGGATATTCAATACGATATGTTGCAGGTTTGGTAGGAAGACATCATTCCAGCATAGCACTATCTATGTTTGCTCCTCTAAAAGACCTAACATCTCATAAGTTAGAACAGTGTCTTGCATCGATGATTATATGATCTATTTGGTTAATCGTTTCATTATAAGGAGATTTCCAAGTTCCCTTATGTATATCTTTATGGGAGAATCTTGTCCCAGCTATTACCATGTTCTTAGATATTGCAAAGTTATTCTTCGTGTGTGTACGACATTTTTTTCTGAGTGTCCTGCCTTGTTCATTGACCAGGCCAATCTTGACAGGTACATGTCTAATATTGCTTTCATTAGTTGTAAATGAGGGTATTGTTGTTGGCAACAATTTTTCTAAAACTGCAAGTCTAAATTGCTCGAATGTGAGTTGTCTTTTAGTACTTCGATCTCCAGCTCCCATACATTCATTTTGGAGGTCTCTCATATTCTTATACTCAAGGTAAAGATTTTTAGGTCATTCTTCTTGTTTCGTAGCTTGAGTCGTTTCCGTAAGTTACACCCGGTATTTATAGCTTTACATTTCATATTAATACGACCTATAAAGTTCAACAAATTAAATTTTTATTACAGTTTACTAACAGAAATACAGTATTTAATTTTTCACAGTGTAGCAATGACATCTATTTTTAATGAGTGTAAATCCGAGCATGATTGTTTCGGTTCACAGTTTCGTATTCTTATCGAAGGCACCTAATCAGTTTACCTTGAATCTACCTATTATCATTGTTTAAATAGGACTAGTTAAACAATCCTTATGGAACAAATGTTTGACTTTTAATCTGCCGTCATATGGCGGCCTCTAGTCATAAATTTTAAAAACTATTAACAGAAACTTAATTCTTTGCAGGATTCTACTCGAGTATATTTTTAGGTGTCTGATAACTAATATGAACCTGTACACGGATGCCAGATTGTAATGAAAGAATATATTATAAGATATAAAATGCTTATTGGTATTATCGTTGTATGTGTCTTATGAAAGATAACTTGACTATTTCGAGCGAATATTTCAAATTGTTCTTATACTTTGAGACTTGCTAAATATAAATCGGTCAGTAATCTATTTAAATGAAATAGGTAAATGCTACCTTTTTTTAATTTTTATTAGTTTGCCAGATATTAAATTTGGTTTTATGATTTGTTAGAAAAGGATTAAATATTTAATTGAAATATACTCGATTGCTATCGTCTTAGAACACTTATGCGGAGGTTTGTTTTTTAGTCAAGACTTAAGTTTTATCATTATTTAAAAAAGAAAATCTTTTTAAATAATGGTTTTACGTATGTTTTGAGAAAATTAAATTTTCAATCTTTTAATCTTTAAAATGACCATTGAAAATATAGTAAATTTATGGGAATGGTTTTTGATAATGGTTTTGAAACAAATAAACAGATCGATATGCCACAACAAGAGGCAACACATATTTGGGGACAAATTAATCTATGTGTTGGGATAAAAGGAATAATAATTAACAAAACTTTAATAAATAGTAGCCTTTATTTTATTTATTTATGTATTTTATAATATACACACCATTTCTCTATTTCTGCTTACATTAATGATAATGTTTTTTTTTTTCAATCAATTCGCCCGATCTGAGCTGTTTATTAAAGAAATAATTTTAAATTACAAAGTGATGGATATTGCAAAAATTAAATTCGCATTATTTTAATAGTTATATAACACTTATAAAAATTCTAATATCTACACATAAACAATATTAACAAAATAATAATTCAAGGTAAAAAAACAAAACAAAATTGTTTACATTAATAGTTATAGAAATTGATTCTAACATTGTTTTCATGAACTAAAATAAGCAATGTATGAGTTGGATATATGTATGAACCAGCAATACTAATTTAAAAAATATTAGATCGTGTACAATACAGATACGTAAGAATATGTTTAACTGCAATGGTATCAACTTCAACAAACGTTATGCTAGCAAAGTGTAATGAAACCCATTAGAATTACATAGACAACTATTAGCACAAAAATACTGTATAATGATGAGAAACACTGAGTCAGACCTTTTAACAAAAGTGTATGATAATTATGATATCTTTTTTCTTGACCAATGGTGATAACGGCATATCAACAAAATCGTGAAGTTCAGAATCACCTCACTGTGCGAAACAGTATTGGCACTAGTTGATGGTTGTTTTGCTATCGAATATGTATGTAAAACGCGTGGTGTCGTTAACGAACCTTCCTCTTCTATCTCACTATATTTCTTTGGTATAGCAGTAGTGGGTAAATATTTTGCATTTAGATATTTTTGGTCAAAATGCTTACTGCATAGAAATTTTTCTTTTCACTTGGGTAGCTCCAGACTTTCCAATACAGCATTACCTACAACAATATTATTATTAACACAACTGAAAAATAGCCAACGTTCTGCACAATAACTTTTTAAGCACAATAAAGTAAATAAAGTAAAAAAAATACACACAATAAAGTAAAGCACAATAAAGTAAAAAAAACAATTTAATTTCTGTATTCAAAATATAAATAATTTGGCAGTTGCAGTATGCCAATATATGTTTATCCACGAAGGAAGCTAAGCTACCTGAGAAAAGGAATGCCAAACGTGTGTTAATGCGGGTTAATAGTAAAAGAAAGGTAGAAAGTATCGGCATCACTCGCAGCAAAGGAAAAAAATAAAAATATGTGTATAATATGATCCTTTCGCAAGTTAATATGCTCCATTTCTAACTTTGCTGCGCGGTACTAAAGATGACCAATAGTCAGAAATACATATGCTTTCTAACATGCCTTCTATCTTATACCACATATTTATCATATTGTTTTCCTTTGTCATATACATATATATATATATATATATATATATATATATATATATATATATATATATATATATATATATAAACTAGAGCTAAGATTAATATTATTACTAAAATTAATATCAAACTCACCAGTCTTCCGGGTTGAACCGCGTCGTTGTCCATTTTGCCAAGCTTTCGGCATCCTCTCTGATGCCTTCCTCAGGTCTTCCGAGGTCTCAGTCTCCCGAGCCCCCAGTCACTACTACACTGATCACTATTCACGGCACTGTCACTGTCACTACTACGGCTAGGAACATGAGACGGTTCATTTATACCGTCGAAGATGGCGTGGCCTAGGCGGTGGTATAAATGAACCGTCTCATGTTCCCAGCCGTAGTAGTGACAGTGACAGTGCCGTGAATAGTGATCAGTGTAGCAGTGTCTGGGGGCTCGGGAGACTGAGACCTCGGAAGCCCTGAGGAAGGCATCAGAGAGGATGCCGAAAGCTTGGCAAAATGGACAACGACGCGGTTCAACCCGGAAGACTGGTGAGTTTGATATTAATTTTAGTAATAATATTAATCTTAGTTCTAGTTTTTATTGTACTAACCGCGGAAATCTTTCCGAACATTATATATATATATATATATATATATATATATATATATATATATATATACATATATATACATTGGAAATGTGGGTTCATAGACGAATGCTGAAGATACCTTGGACAGCAAGAAAAACTAATGAAGAAGTACTAAGGAGCGTCAACAAAGACAGACAACTGCTAAAGACTGTTAAACATCGAAAAATGTCTTTCTGGGACATACAGTAAAGGGAAGTCGATATAAAATTTTACAACTGATCCTTAAAGGAAAAATAGAGGGCCGTAGAGGTGTAGGAAGAAAACAAGTTACTTGTTTAAAAAACATTCATGATTGGACTCAGATACCAAATGCAGGACAATTATTCCATATTGCAGAAGATCGAGAAGCCTTCGCAATGGTGATCGCCAACAACGGATAGTTCTGATATGGCACGCGAAGAAGGAGATATATATATATATATATATATATATATATATATATATATATATATATATATATATATATATATATATATGTATATATATATATATATATATATATATATATATATATATATATATATATATATATATGTATATATATATATATATATATATATATATATATATATATATATATATATAATTATATAGGTATGTATGTATTCTCAATGAAAGCAACCAAAATAATTTTTATGGATTTTTGGTCGGTATTGTTATGTCGAAAATTTATTTACACAAAGTACCTTAACAACTATGCCCATTGGTACAGGAACAATAATATTAAATATAGAATAAATAATGAGAACAAATAATAATTATATCACTTTAACTAATGTCCATTAGGTTAAATCTGATGGTAGAGTTGAGCGGTTTTTAGAAACTATCTAGTTTTTGTTATGTCTGTAGGGTTGTTAAGCAGTTCCTTAGAGTAGGTTTAAAGTGCAGTGCTTTATACAGGTTAGTGAATTGTTTGCGTCGGTAAGTTTGGTGTGATTGATTCGTAGTCTTCTAATAGTCGACGCTTCTAGTTAGGAAGTCCAGGGAGAGATGACCAATAAAAGATTGAAGTGTATAAAGAGTTGTTTTGCTTTTTTG